GGTGCATTTATCTGATTCTGGTTTCAGTGTAATGCTGGCCTCACAGCATGAATTTTGGAAGTTTTCCTTTCTCTTCTACTTTTTGGGATAGTTTGAGAAGAACAGGTATTCTTTATCTTCTTTAAAAGTTTGGTAGATGGGGCGCCTGGGTGGTTCAGTGGGTTAAGCCTCTGCCTTCGGCTCAGGTCATGATCCCAGGGTCCTGGGATCGAGCCCCGCATCGGGCTCTCTGCTCAGCAGGGAACCTGCTTCCCTTCCTCTCTCTGCCTGCCTCTCTGCCTACTTGTGATCTCTGTCTGTCAAATAAATAAAATCTTTAAAAAAAAAAAGTTTGGTAGAATTTGCCTGTGAAGCCATCTCATCCTGGACTTTTGTTTGTTGGTAGTTTTTTGATTACTGATTCAATTTCATTGCTGGTAGTGGGTCTGTTCACATTTTCTATTTTTCTTGTTTCAGTGTTAGTAATTTATAGGTTTCTGGGAATTTGTCCATTTCTTCCAGGTTATCCATTTGTTGACATACAAGTTTTCATACTATTCTCTTATAATTGTTTGTATTCTGTGGTATGTGTTATTATTTCTCTTTTCTCATTTATGATTTCATTTATTTGCGTCCTTTCTCCTTTTTTTGATAAGTCTGGCTATAGGTTTATCAATTTTATTATGTTTTCAAAGAACTAGCTCCTGCTTTCATTGATCCATTCTATAGGTTTTGCTTGTTTGTTTTTATTTCATTTATTTCTGCTTTAGTCTTTATTATTTCCTTCCTTCTGCTGATTTTGGGTTTTGTTTGCTGTCCTTTCCCTAGCTCTTTTAAGTATAAGGTTAGGTTATTTATTTGAGATTTTTCTTGCTTCTTGAGGGAGACGGGTAGTGCTATAAACTTCCCTCTTAGAACTGCTTTGGTTGTATCCCAGAGACTTTGAACCACTGAGTTTTCATTCACCTGTTTCCATGTACTTTTTTATTTCTCTGTTTATTTTCTGGGTGACCCATTCATTGTGTAGTAGCATTTTATTTAATCTCCATGTATTTGTGGTCTTTTGTGGCTGACTTCTAGTTTCATAGCTATTGTGGTCAGAAAAGATGCGTGTATTCTTTGATCTTTATTAGATTTTGTTGAGGCTGCTTTTGTGATCTGTTCTGTGACATCCCTTGATTTTTAAATGTTGACAAATCTTTCAATGAGATGACAGCAACAGTGATGATTACAAAAACACCGGGAGGACAAACGTGTCTGTAGGCAGGAGGAGGATGGCAGGCTGCCTGCTTGAAACCTCCACGACAACATGATGACAGCACCCAGCACCTGTGCAAAATGTGACGTCTGTACATGCAGCTCTCCAGACCTGCTTTTTTATTTAACTGTCATGGCGCCCCTCTGAGACCAGGATTACTGACCCATGTTGTAGTTAGGGGAACCTGCTTGGAGAGTTTGAGGAAGTGGTCCTAAACCACTGACTCATGAGTGGTTGTGCCAGAACTTGAGCCTACATCTTCAAACTCCAAGCCTGGCTTCCTCTTCCATCATTCTATGTTTCTGCCAGCACTTATCCTGATGCCATATCAGGCACTGTATCTCTCACCACCTGTTATGGAGGAGGGATGTGAGGCTCTGGGAGGACATGTGGTCAGCGCGGGATGGAGATGGTTGGAACCAAGGTCTGACTTCTCTAGAGCTAGTTTTGTCTTGAGAAGGAAAAAGCCCAAACAAAAACACGTCTGTCGGGAAGGTTCTGCCCTCAGCTAAAAGCAGAGGAGCAACAGAGAAAGCCTTTTCTTGGCTGCCGTATGTGTGAGTTAGAGCCGTGTGAAGTTGCAATCTGTGCTCGGAGGTGGGGGTCGGGGAAGTCTTACCCAGTTCTTTAAATTAATCAGTGTAAAAGAATCTGTTGTAAAAATAAAAATAAACCCACCCAGACTCTGCCGTTAGTTGGGAGGCGCTGGGTATACCTGCCATCGTCCAGAACAAGGGTATTTAGGAACAGGTGGTCCTCCACGGGTAAGAGTGTTAGGACGAGAAAGGGAGTCCCATGGGTCAGACACGGTCTAGGGAGTGCAGATGGCTGGCTCTGGCCTTCACAGGCCTACCCCAATGCATTTCTTACTGAAAGCTGGTGAGCAGGCTCGAAGCCCATGACACTGTGAGTGTTCGATGCTAGGCCTTCTCTAGATGTTCTATAGCCAGGATCTCCTTCAATCCTCATGAGATAGGGACTATGAATTCCATTTTATAGGTGAGGAAACTGAGGCACGGAGGTGAAGTGACTGGCCAAATGGCACACAGGTGGTAACTGGCAGAGCCAGGACCTGAGCCCAGAACGGGCAGTTCCCAAGGCCTGTCATCTGGACCACTGGGTGCTACTGCCTGTTGTCTCATGGGGATATCAGCTCTGCCTTCCCAGACTAATCAGTTACTGAAGTGAACTCCTGCTGTCATCTGAAACAGTGGCAAAATTGGTAAAACTCAGGGCTCGTGCTTTGGGAGGATTAAACAAGATAACGCTTGGACCATACTTCACGTGGTGTCTGGCACAATAAAGGTCCTACGGCACAGCCCCAATCTTTACACTCTAACCAAATGCCCAGCCCACTGCTGTAGCCTCCTGGCACTCCTGCCTCCCGCCCTGAGCCCAGCCCCCAGAAGCCCCCTGTGGCTCTCTGCACAGGCGTGCCCTCGTCCCAGCCAGCTGCTCCCCAACGTTCACAGAATCTGTTCCATGCCACCTCCTCTTTGAACCCCCCTGGGGAGCCACTCCATTTCCAGCCCCAACCTCACCCAGTGCAGGGGCGTCTCTTCACAGAACCCTCAGGGATCCCACAGCCTGCTGTCCAGACCTCCATTTCAGCCCTTATTTTGGGTATAATTACATGTTCACAGATCTGTTTCCCATAACAAGTCTGTCTGAGAGCCAACATTCACTAAACAAAAGCAGCAGGAAATCTACAGCTAATACACCACTGGAAGGACGGGTTCCAGAGTAATTGGGATGCCACACTTGCCATTCCATGCACCCACAGGCCAACTGGCACAGGCGAGGTCCCCCGAGCCCTTTCACGAAGTACCGCACTGAAAGCCATAAAAACATCCCAATGACCCTCTGACCTAGTCATTCCATTTCTGGGAAGAAAGGTTAGAGGAAACAATTAGGAAATTAAGAAAAAATAAATTTATGCCAAGAATCACACCTTGGGATTCTGAGGGTAGGAATAAAACAAAAACATAAACAAACAATTTAAATGTCCAACCACAAAAGGGAGGCTGAGTCACCCGGAGTAACAGTAATGCCTGTTTGTTGATGATTTGTGCCCGGTAAATGTCAGTCACTTCGCCTTGCCATGTCATTTTGTCCTCGCGCACCGCCTGGTGAAATCGGCAGCATCGTCATCCCGCTTTCCAGCAGGGAAGCAGGCTCAGAGGTTGTGACCGGAGTGACGGCTACTAGCAGGGGAATGCCAGGCCAGGCAGGACACCGGCAGCAGGACACTGTCTCAGTCACTGCTCACAAGAGCCCAGGACGAAGCAGCTCTTCATCATCTCCCTTTACCAACAAGGGACTGAGACTTTGAGACAAGAATAAGGTATCCACAGCCACACTCCTGCCCAGTCCACGGTCTTACCTCCTTGGCTCTAGCTGTTGGGACCTGTGTCACTCAGCAGCCAGCAGCAGAGGAGAGCCTGGGGGACAGACACAACTGCTTCGAGACCCCATGCTCTCTGCCGTGAGATGGTCCTCCGGCCGCAGATGGCAAACCACTTCTGTCACGAATTATGTCCCCCTAAGATGCTGAAGTCCTAAAAACCAGTCTCTGTGAACCTGTAACCTCTGTTGGACATAGGGTCTTTGCAGAGGGGTCACAAGCTTAGGACTGTGTCCTTCTAGAAGAGGGGAACTGGGACACAGAGACAGATGTGCACGGAGCAAAGGCCATGTAAAAGCATGGGGAGACAATGATCTACAAGCACAGAATGCCAGAAGCTAGCAGAAGCCAGGCGAGAGGCCCGGAGCAGATCCTCCCTGGAAGCCCTCCGAAGGAACCAACCCTGCGGACAGCTTGACTACAGACGTCTTGCCTCCAGCCTGGGAGAGAATAAATGTCTGTTGTTTGGGCCACTGAGTTTGTCACATCGTTACAGCAGCTCCGGCTCACTAGTCACTTCTCACACTATGAGACAGCTGGCAAAATGGTGATAACCGGGGCCGGGGTGTGGCTGGGGTGGAGGATATCTGGGGGGCATGTGATGGGGGCCACTGATTGCCCCTACAGGAAACCACATCTGGGGGCAGGGAGGGCTGTGAGGAGACACACCAGCACAACAACGCTGCTTTCTAATTTCTCTCCTTCTTCTCCTACACGTTCCCAATTCAATCCAGCAAAGCTTACGTTACTCTTCTAAATTCCATACAACTGGCTTAAATCTATGTACTTGAGCCATGAGAATCTAGAGGTAGATGAGAATCCTTGTGATGGGTCACTGTGTTCCCCCAATCCAGATGTTGAAGCCCTGATCCCAGGACCTCAGAACGTGAATTACCTGGACACAGGGCCTTTCAAGTGGTAACTGGGTTAAAAATGGGTTGTTAGGAGGGGCCCCACTCCAATAAGACTGGTGTCCTTATAAGAAAAGGAGATGAGGACACACACAGAGAGGCAGAAAGAAAAAGAGCGCATGATAAACCAGCTCCAGGTACGCCCAGATTGGAGTACTACGCGAACACATAGCAAGAGGGTGGCCATCTGTGAGCCAAGGAGAGAGGCCTCAGAAAAACCACACCTGCCAACATCTGGCCCTTGGCCTTCTAGCCTCCAGAACTGTTAAGAAAATAAATTCCTGTTGTGGAAGCCGACCGATCTGTGCCGTTGTGTGCCGGAGGCCCCAGCAAAGTAACACAAGGAACCAGAGGAGGGCGAGCCTTCCCACCGCCCCCAGCACTGTAGGCTGGAGCTGAGGGACAGGCAGGGCGTGCTTAGCGGGCCGGGCACGGCCGTGTCACTCACCCAGGCAGTTGTGTCCATCATGGGCCAGCATGAAGCCGTCGAAGCAGGTGCACCTGTAGTTCCCTGGGATGTTGATGCACTCGTGCACGCAGCCCCCGTTGTAGTAGTCATTCTCACACTCGTCGATGTCTGCAAAACGAGGGCCGGGAGAGCGTTCAGAGAAAGGGCCTGGGGGGTCCCCTCTCCCCGCTACCACTGAAGCCACCAGGGTGTGAACAGTTCGGGGATGACTCAGTAGGTATACGCTGAAGTCCTTGCTGGGCCCTGGGGCCCCAAAGATGGCAAAGACGAAGAGCCTGGCTCTGCACTAAGGCCGGCCCCCTCCTCCTGGGGCAGCACGGGATGCCCTCACCACAGCGAATTCGGCAAGAATTCACCCCCAGCTCTGCCTCCCTCAAAAGCCTCTAGACAACAGCATGCGGGGACCCTGTCTAAAAACCCCTGAAACCGGCTCTCTTCAGCTCATGGGAAAGCCCCCCAGAGATGGAGAGCTCATGACTTTGTGCAGTGCGGAGTACTGAATAAAATTAACCTTGCATGCCACCGAGAAATGTAACCTCTGGAAGGAGAAATGCACAGACTCCGCCCAAACAGTTTCCTTCCACAGCCGCGCCTGAAGCCCGAATTTCTACGGCTCCAGAATCCTTGTTATAACAAAGGCTTCTGTCTCTGAACAATGGCCAGTAGCCTTTGTAAAGGTCACTCTTTTTGCTGTTTTAAGCCTTTTTTCAACATTTCCCATCAGGGGTTAAAGGGCTATCAGTTCTGGAGCTCCAGAGAATTGGAGGCCTCGGAGAGTAACAGGAACGCACGACACCCAACGAGCGGCTTCTATACCCAAGTCCCGGGCAACCCCGTCTGTCATTCTCTCCTCACACCCCGCAGGAGCTCAGAGAGGTGGGCACCGTCATTCTCGCTCCAACTTTACACGGGCACTGAAGCAAGCCGGGCCCGGGGAGGCCAGAACCCCGCCCAACGGTCACACACCTGGGAAGTGGTACGAGTGGGATTCGAGCAAGACAGTCTGGCTTGGGAGCTCCTGGGGGCCCAAGCCGCCACATCTCTGACAGCAGCGAGCCGAGAGCGCTGAGGCCCAAGGGGAACCACCAGCTTTGCCTGTGGACCTCGGTAACCCCGGCCCAACCGCTCCCGGGGCTCGTCGTCTCAGCACACACCGGCCCTGACCTCCACAGAAAACCCGCGGAGGCAGCGAAGAGGAAGCGGAAGTGCCCACCCGGGGGAACCGCAAGTATCGTATTTGGCGGAACCGGAAGTGTCCAGCAGAGCACAACCGGAAGTGCCTCGCAGGAACAACCCGTCCCTCCCCTCCAGGGTCAAACAGGAAGGTTTGAAGCCCTGTTGCAGCTACGAGTGCTGGCCGGAAGAAGAGAGGGCACCGAAGGCAAGCCTGGCTGCTCCCTTAAAGGCCCGAGGAGCTGCCACAGAGCAACACCCAGTTGCAAGCTCCCTCCATGCTGGTCCTGAGGGCAGAGCTACACGCAGTGGAGGAAAGCCATGGGGGGCCAATTAGAGTCGCAGGTAGGAATGTCCATTGGAAAACTGCTCACTCAGGAGGTAGTGAGCTCCCTAACCCCAGAGGTGACCAAGCACTGTTCAGATATCTGCCTGCCAGTAGAGGGAATAACTTCAGTGAAAAGGGTAGCACAAAAATGCCAGAAAACAGAGCCTGGGCTGTGCAGTCCGCTTCTTGTGCCCACCCTTCCAGCCATGACGAGGGGAAAACAAAGTAGCCTGAATCTCCAAAGGAAAGAGACAGAAGCTTCCGCCCAGCCCAACTGCAGCGGCCATCAGCATCAGCTGGGAAGCTGGTTCAGCACTGCAAGTCCTTTGAATGGTTTTTAATCAGATTTAATACATTGAGACATTTTATTTTTTATTATTTTATCATTTTTTAAAGATTTTGTTTATTTGACAAAGAGAGACAGCGAGAGAGGGAACACAAGCAGGCGGAGTCCGAGAGGGAGAAGCAGGCTTCCTGTGGAGCAGGGAGCCCGAGGCTGAGCCCGAGGTCAGCTGGATCCCAGGACGCTGGGATCATGATCTGAGCCAACGGCAGACACTTAACAACTGGCCACCCAGGAGCCCCAGACATTTTAAATAACATTGAAGGGGGATATAAGATTTTATGTTTGAAAGGGCACACAGGCATATGAAGACTGAGCTATTGATTAGTTCTCATTCTCTGCAGCCCTGACCTTTTTGCCACAGCCCCAGATAAACCAATCTGACTGCTTCCCGCCTCCCACCCCCGAATCTCCCAGACACTCCAAAGGAAACATGGCCTGACTTTAATTCATCAACCTGCACTTGACTTGGGTTCCTTGTCCCTGTGAATATTGTTATCCTTCCACCTCTCCACAGACATGGAATCAGCTACCAAAGCATGGTTTTTCTACAGCGTTAACATGGTTGCAGTCTGTCCACTGGGCACCCATTCCACTACCTGCTCATCACGGCCATCATCTCTCATCCAATCTCAACCGGCAGCCCCAGACCATCCCCTCCCTCATTTCTTCATGTAAACAGGTGGCTCAGGAGAAAATGGCCTGGTCCCAACTCTAGGGTTGCAGCCTGGTTGTTTAACACAAACAGTATATGTAGCAGCAGCTCTTCGTCCCAGGGTGGGCACATGACTTAGGTTGGATCAGTGAGACTGAGGGGAAGCACTTTTACTCCATGCTTGGGTAAAAGAATTGTTTTTTGCTCTCAACTTGTAGCTCTGAAGGAATTATGCAGATATTTACTGAAAACACACACCAGGTCACTTAATTTTCATAGCAACCCTCTGGAGTGGGTATCTTAACTTCATTTTATGGGTGAGCAAACTAAAGTGCAGAGAGGAGAGGTAATTGCTCAAGGTCATATAGTAAACGGTAGGGCAAGGGTCAGAACAGAGGTCTTTCAGTCGCAAAAACCTGTGTCCTTTCTAATAAGTTAGAACACCCATGACATGCCAGGCATTGGCAAATTACTATATACACATTATTACACCCTTGGTACATGTATACTGTGTGTTGAGGAAGTATTATCTAATGCTCCAAGCACCCATTTATCCATTCATCCTTCCCTTTGTCTGTTCATGCTAAAATCTATTCATTAAATATCCAGTCAGCTGACTATCCTTCCATTTATCCAATCACCCATTATTCACTGGTCCATTTATCCAGCCAGATATCTACCCATGTATCAAATATGCATCCACCCATCTACATATATGGCCAGACACACTCATCTTTTCATTCGTCTAAACATCTAAACACCCATCCATTCACTCATCCATCCATCCAAATGTCTAAACACCCATCCATCTATTCATTGTTCCAAACGCCCACCCACCTACACACACACACACACACACACACACACACACACCCCTACCCACTCGCCATCTGTCTATCCATCCACTCACCCATCCATCCATTCACATATGGATTCATCCACCCATCGACTTCTTCAAGCATGATCCATTTAAACATCTTACAAAATGCACACAATTCGATTTAAAAATAAAGATGGTGGGAAGAAGAAAAAGAAATGAGGGTTGAAGAATAAGAGAAAACTGGTGAAAGTATACAAATACACTTGGTAATTCTAGCACAATTTCAAAAAGTTGGCCACAAATATGGCTCTAAGCTGCCCGGAAACCAAAGCAAAGAGGAAACACAGAGTCACCACATCCATAAAATGCAAATAAACTGGTTTGAATGGTGGTGAGGTCTAAGAAAAATGTCTCTTCCCCTGGTTAGGACAATCATATGCCCCGATCTGCGTGGCACATTTCCACTTTATGCTGTTGTCCGGGTGTCATTATTGACAGCACACTTTTCACTCTCAAAATAACAACCTATTTGGTCACCATACCCGGAAGGCGTTATAAAGATATTGCTGAATAATCAATAAAACTCTAGCCTTTTATTCCTGTGACACCCTATAGTATGGGCCACAATACATGCCAGTAGGCAGTAGAGTGAAGGAATGTTCACTGCTCAGACCTCTTCCCTTAACTTATCTCCAAAGGATTTCCCCCAGATCCAAGCATCTCTTAGAACCATCAGCTCCTCTCCAACCCCCAGACCTGATGTGCTACCACAGGCTTCCTAGACCGGCCTGCAGCATCTGCTCACAACTAACCCCCCTCCCCTGATTTCTGTGCCTGTGTGTTGAATTTTTTTTTAATCATGTGAGCCTCCTCCTTTAAATAAGAAAGAAACACACAAACAAATCAACCAAAAAAAGTCTCTGCCAAAGCGAGTGGATTTATTTCTGTTAAAAAAACATGTTCATGAGCCACCAGGCCTGGGGGAGGGCCCACAGGCCCCCAAGATGCCCAGCAGGCTCGGACCACGTTTTAAGGACTGTTAAAGGCAGAGAATGAGGAACAGGCAAATGGGGTAGGGAGAGGGTGAAGGAGTGGAAGGGGACAGAGCCAAGCTCTCTGGATGTTTATTCTTGAAGGACTATTGTGGGCTGAACTGTGTCATTCCCAGAGATGTACTCGTGCCCTAACCCCCAGTATTGTGAATGTGACCTGATTTGGAAATGGGATCTTTGCAGATGTAAGCAAGTTATGGTGAGGTCATGCAGTAGGGTGGGCCCTAATCTAAGGCTTGGTGTCCTTATAAGAAGAGGGAAATTTGGATACACACGGAGAGGATGTTGGGACAGAGAGGAAAACACCATGGTGAAAGGCACAGAAGGAAGACGGCCACTGATGACCACAGCAGAGACCGGAGGGAGGAAGCTGTGTAAGAGCCTGGTGTTAGTTAGTCCCATTTTGCTGATACAAAGGCTGAGGCACGCATGGCTGAGCACCTAGTCGCCCGGCCCCGAACCAGTGGCGGTGTTCGAAGGCAGATTCTATACCTGTTGGAGCCATATCCTCAGCATGCATGAGATGAACACTTTCTAAAAGGGCATCAAGTCCAAAAAGTTATTAGGGAGGAAAGTGGGAAGGAGACATCATGTGCCTCATTGTTTTTTATTCCCAAGGTGTATACCTGCCCTGAGGTTGAGGGATGGTGACAGGGACCTGAGTGCTTGGGATGACAAGTCCAGCAGCTCACCCCAGCCATCCGGGCTCCTTCTCAAGCTTTTTTTTTTTTGGTTAT